CACGGGCGGCCCCACGAGAGGCCTGGGCAGGCCACGGGGCAGGGGCTCAGCAGGGCAGGGGAGGAGGTCTCAGGGCTGCCCGCACGCCCAAGCCCGTCCAGGGCCGGTTGAGGGGGTCACTGGGCCAGCCCCAGCTCCCTTGTGCCACGGCCTGGCCCGCTGGTCTGAGGGGGCTTCCCGGGCCGTAGTGGGGCAGAGCCAGCCTTGTGAATGCAGGTGGGGGGCTGGCCAGACTCCACGCGGAGGGAGAGGGGGCACCCAGCAGGGCCAGGGGCCCCGCCCCACAGCTGCAGCAGGCTGGGCTTGGGGGGCTCGGGGAGCTGCTTCCAGTCCAGGTCCGGGGAGCGTGTCCCGTTGGGGCCAAACAGGTTCAGGTCCTTGAAGCACTCCGTCTCGATCATCTGGGGAGAGGCGCAGCGGGGACAGCTCAGTGGGGCCTGCTCCTTGGGGAGGGCCATTCCTGTGGGTCTAGGAGCAGGGTGCTGGCCAGCAGCAGGCTGGGCTTGGGGGGCTCGGGGAGCTGCTTCCAGTCCAGGTCCGGGGAGCGTGTCCCGTTGGGGCCAAACAGGTTCAGGTCCTTGAAGCACTCCGTCTCGATCATCTGGGGAGAGGCGCAGCGGGGACAGCTCAGTGGGGCCTGCTCCTTGGGGAGGGCCATTCCTGTGGGTCTAGGAGCAGGGTGCTGGCCAGGCCGCGCACCCTGGGGTACCAGCACCCTGGCGCCAGCAAGATGTGGGGCAGACTCAGCCCCTGGGGCAACGATCCTGCTAATTTTTTCCAATCTATGTGCGGAATAAATGTTCTATGCACGTGGGGCCGTGCACCACCAGGAGACGCACATGCGGCCAGCTGGGGGCGCCCTGCAATCAGCCGGGCGGCGTTTGAATCTCCCCAGGGCAGCTGCAGGCCCGAGGCCCGGACCCCAGCACTTTGTCTGGTGGGGAGTAGCAGACCCTGGCCAGGGGGCCCAGCTGCCCACGGCCCGTCCAGGGAGGCGTCTGCGCACCTCACGGGCCCCTTCTTCCTCTGGGAAAGCAGACAGGCTGGAGCCAGACCCAGGCGTGCGGGGGCAGCTCACCCCCCCCGGTACCTCATTCTGCCAGGGGATGGAGACGCTGCCCGTGGCGAACTTGGCGTAGAAGTCATTGTCCGTTTGGTCCAGGTTGATGCCCTTGACGGTGGAGAACTGCTCGATGTCCAGCACGTCCTTGCAGTACACGGCTCGGGGCTGCGGGGCCACAGAGAGCGCTGAGTGTGGCCCCGGCCCTGCCCCCCCC